AAAAAAAAAAAACAACACCATAAAATAAATAATAAAAAATTAAAAATAGAAAAAAGCTTATAAAATAAGTACATAAAGAAAAATATTTTTGTATATCTGTACAATGTGTGTTTTAACCTTAATGTTATTATTACAAAAGAATAAAAAAGAAAATTCTATGAAGTAAAAAAGTCACAATAAGCTAAGTTTAATTTATTATGAAAGAAAGAAAAACATTTAAAAATACATTTAGTGTAACCTAAGTGTTCAGTGTTGATAAAGTCTACAGTAGTGTACAGTAATGTCCCAGGCCTTCACATTCACTCCCCGCTCACTCACTGACTCACCCAAAGCAACTTCTAGTCCTGCAAGCTCCATTTATGGTAAGTGCCCTATGCAGGTGTACTATTAAAAAAAATTACAATGTATTTTTACTCTACCTTTTCTGTGCTTAAATATGTTTAGATATACAAATACTATTTAGATACACAAAACCATACACAATTACCATTGTGTTATAATTGCCTACAGTATTCACTATAGTAACATCCTGTACAGGTTTGTAGCCTAGGATCAACAGATGACACCATATAGCTTAGATGTAGAGCAGGCTGTACCATCTGGGTTTGTGTAAGGGCACTGCATGATGTTCACAGAATGGCCAAGTCAGGTAACAATGCATTTCTCAGAATGTACCCCTGTCATTAAACTCAGGAATGGAAAAGCAAACATTGTATGTACTCACTTATAAGTGGGATCTAAGCTATGAGGACACAAAGGCATAAGAACAATACAATGGACTTTGAAGATACAGGGAAAGAGTCAGAGGATGGTAAATGATTAAAACAAAATCGCACTGGGTATAGAGTACACTGCTTGGGTGGTAGGTTCACTAAAATCTCAGAAACTGCCACCAAAAAACTTATTCATATAACCAAACACCACCTGTTTCCCAAAAACCTGTTAAAATTAAAAAAATAATATACAGAATTCAAATATGCAATAGCAAAAGGCCAAATAACCCAACTAAAAATGGGCAAAGGATCTGAATACAAATTTTTCCAAAGAAGAGATACAAATCACTAATAGGTGTATGAAAAGGTTTTCAACATCACTAATCGTCAGAGAAATATGACTCAAAACCATAATGGGGTTATCTCATACCTGTTAGAACGGCGATTATCAAAAAGAGAAGGGATAAGAGGTGTTGATGAGTACAGATGGAAAACAGAAACCTTGCAGCCTGTTGGTAGAAATATTAATTGGTATAATCCTCATGGAGAATAATAGGGAGATTTCTCAAAAAATTAGAATTACCACATAATCTGGCAAGCTCATTTCTGGGTATATGTCCAAAGACTTGAAATTAGTATCTCAAAGAAATAGCTGTACTTTCATGTTTGTTTTATCATTATTCACAATAGTCAGGTATGGAAACAAACTAAGTGTCCATCAGTGGATAAATGGATAAAAGAACATGGTATGTAAATACAATGGAATACTTTTCAGCCTTAAAAAAGGAAAAAAAAAACCCCTGATATTAATTATATTAATATTTAAAAAATAACCAAGTTCTTAAGATGCAGACATTTTCGAGGATTTGCTTTTATCTTTATGGAGGAGGAATCTCAATTTAAGAATGTATTTCTTTTAAATTTTTAAAAATTATTTTTGTAACTTCAGTCTCTGTGCTGGTAAGAATGTTCTTTATAAGTCTGTTACTAAAGTGAACTCATGAGAGTTTTTTCTCTTTAATCGTAAAATAAAGAGAAAAGTTTTAAATCATATCTCCTACTTCAGGAAACACCTGAACTTAACTCTTCTTCTAATATACATTTTATTGTTTATAAAATTATGTTTATTTTTCCAATATCAACATTGACATATGCTTCCCAAGTTTTAAAAGCTCCAAAAGGTGGAAAAAAGAGATTTAGCTATAATCTCACTCTTCAAACACAGTTAATTAAACATTTTATATAGTGTATTTTCTTCCAGCCTTAAAATTACTTTTCAAAATAAGTGATTTGTCTACAATTTTAAGAAGTTCTTGAAGATATGATTAAAATGTATACAGTGTTTCAGTGTTAAAGGTATTTTTTAGCATTTTATCCCTACCACTTAATTCAATATCATAACCACAGTAAAACAAACTATTTCTTAGATTTAGTGGAACAAATTTCCTCCTTGAGTGAAACAAATTTCCAGGTTGAATCCATAGTATAGCCTTCAAGAAAGTAAATTCTGTCAACAACCCAAAGGTGTAGGAAATGGATTATCTGCCAGAGCTTCCAGGAAAGAATTCAGCCTGCTGACATTTTAGCTTGCTAAGACCTGTTGTTGGGCTTCTGATTGGCAGAACTATGAGATAATAAATTAGTGTTGTCTTAAGCTGCCAAATTAGTGGAAATTTGTTATGACAGCAATAGTAACCTCATATGGTAACTTTTGATACCATGTCTTAATTACGGTCTGATTATGAGCACAAAGCAGAAAATTATAGGACTGCTTCATTCTTGGTGACTTTGGTCTATCTACTTTTAGTCTTTAAACATTTGTCTACTTCATTATCTTATGATGGACTATGCTGTCTTACAATACTCTGAATTCATTCCTAAGATAGCACTTTCTTTACCTGCTGTTCACTGATTCCATGCCAATTCTTAAGGTTCCTATCTTTGTCCACTCAGCTAGAAAATCTGTAACAAGACTAGCCATGATTCTTTTTGATCTTAGAGATGACTATTGTCTTCTTCCTGTTCCTACACTCTTTTTAGAGTGCTTACTCCCACAGCACCTACTTAGTGGCTGTGTGGACACAGGGTGATTTGACACCTTGCTGACTCATTCTTGCAAATAAGTGAATCAGAAGTGGAAATCTCACTCTAATTGGATCAGTCGTATCCTCCTCCCAGAAGTTCGGATTTCAAACTCAGATCATTTTAAACATGCATCCACTTAAATTTACCACACATCAATATATTCAAATACATTCAATATCTATACTCCTATATATTGAATATATATCTATAATTGAATATATACATATATTTGTGAATGACAAAAGCATCTATCTTGCGTGTGCACAGAAAAGTAGAAAAAAACACTGCAGAGAGAGAAAAACAGATCAGTAGTATATTAGTTTCTTACAGCTGCTGTAACAAATTACCACAAACTTAGTGGCTTAAAAACAACACTAATGTATTATTTTACAGTTCTGAAGGCAAGAAATCCAAAAACAGTTTCACTGGGCTGCAGCCCAGTGTTGGCAGAGCCACATGAGGTTGTGGGAGAAAATCAGTTTCATTGCCTTTCCAGCTTTCAGAGGTTCATTTCTTGATTCATGACCCTCTGTCTCCAAAGCCAGCAGAGCAGCATCACCAAATCTCTCTCTACTTCCATCATCACATGGTCTTCTTCTTCTTCTTCTTTTTTTTTTTTGGTAGTAAAATCTCCTTTTGCCTAACTCCTCTTTTGATGACACTTGGGATACCTGTAGGGCCCACCTGGGTAATCCAGGATAATCCCCCATCTCAAGATCTTTAACTTGGTTGCACCTACAAAAATCTCTTTGTCACATAAAATAACATTCACGGTTTCCAGAGGTCAGGACCTGGATATCTTTAGGGGCCATTATTCAGCATGCCACAAAGTATATGGAGAAAAATAATACAGAGAACTACAACTCCAAAGAGACCTAAAGAGAAATCAGAGACTCAGAGATAAGGGAATATCTACCTTGGATCCTTATGGATTTCTAGTTCATTCTTTTTGTTGCTTAGCAGGTCTTGATGTTTCTTATCGTCTGGGGTTCCACATGGTACTTTTGATTATTATGATAAGTACACATTTTACTTAAGCAAGCTTCATTAGTTTTCTGATTTTTTTTTTTTTTTCCTCAACCAAGTGAATGCTAAGATACTCTTCTTTATATGATGGCTGTATTGGCCAGTTGCAATAGATGATCAGTCTAGACTCATGGTCAGTTATAGTCTCTGAATAAGTAGTTTTCCTTTCAAACCAATTGCCTCTCAGTCCATTCTAATTATATCCCACTTCTGGTCTGCCTTGATCTGCAGGTCTGTGTAACTGTTGCCTTCTGGCTTCAGAAAAAGAAGGTAGCTTCCAGGCTAATTTGGCTTCTCCTCTTAAGTTTCCCTTCCACATTTTGTGATATAGCAGAATGCAAAAGGAGTCTGAAGTTCACATATTCTAACTCTCTGCCACTCACCAATGCTGTAGTTTGGGGCAAGATGCTTAACCTTGGCCGGGCACGGTGGCTCACGCCTGTAATCCCAGCACTTTGGCAGGCCGAGATGGGTGGATCACGAGGTCAGGAGTTCAAGACCAGCCTGGCCAAGATGTTGAAACCCCATCTCTACTAAAAATACAAAAATTAGCTGGGCATGGTGGCACATGCCTGTAATCCCAGCTACAAAGGAGGCCGAGGCAAGAGAATTGCTTGAGCCTGGGAGACGGAGGTTGCAGTGAGCCGAGATTGTGCCATTGCACTCCAGCCTGGGTGACAGAGTGAGACTCTATCTCAAAAAAAAAAAAAAAAAAAGATGCTTAACCTTTGTAAACCTCAGTTTTCTCGTATGTAAAATGGGGATAATGATATCAGCTTTCTAAAGGTTATTAGAAGGAATAGATGAAATACATGTATATATATTTAAGTACACTGTACAAACCCTATATTATGTTATTACTTTCCGTTGTTATTGTTATTATAATATTTAACTGTCAGGGTTGAATCTGTGCAACATCCGAAAAGACCCAGCAGAAGTGTTTGGAAGTGTTTGTTTATGTGGTTCCATTTCTTAGACTATCTTGCTAAGCCTACGACAACAAAAAGAAAAAGCACAACATCCCCATTTTACAGATGAAAAAACAAATAGATAGGTTAAGTGTCACTTGATTAAAAAAAGTGATAAAGCCAGCTTAAAATTTAGGTTTTTTTGGTTTTAGTTTAGTATTCTTCATTAATCCATGATATTACAACTGTGCAGTCGTTCGCTAATAGAGTTCAGGGCATGTTATTTTCTCTATGGCTGAATTGTCTCTTCTAAACTGTGACTACAATGCTTTTCCTCTGATGCGGCACTGAGCCTATTCATACCCTCCTGTATACCTTTGATTTTCTGGTGTCTAAACCTGTCTTTCTCCGCACTGAGCCAGAGTTGAAAATAACCATTCTGAGCAAAAAACTTAGTTTTAAGTTCTCCTGTGCTATGAGGACATAATTTTGCTGATTGCTTCTTTCAAGACTTCCTTTACCTTTTCATTTCTGAGACTATAAATGAAAGGATTCAGAAGAGGGGTCACCATTGTGGTAAGGATAGCTGTCACCTTGTCAAAATCCAGTGAGTGACTCTGGCTGGGCCTCACATACATGAAGATGTTGCTCCCATAGGCAATGGAAAAGACGGTGATGTGGGAAGTGCAGGTGGAAAAGGCCTTCCGACGTCCTTGGGCTGAGGGGATACGCAGGATGGTAGAGATGATGTAGATGTAGGACATGGTAGTGAGCACCAATGAGGTAAGGAGGACGAGGGAAGATAAGAGGAAGTTTATCATCTCGATGAAATGAGTGTCTCTACAGGATATGTGTAGCAGAGGGGCAATGTCACAGAAGAAGTGATTAATTTCCTTATAACAAAAAGGCAATCTGGATACCACAATGGTTGGGGACAACACAGACAGGAAGGCTCCAACCCAGCAGCCCAGAACTAGTAGGTGGCAGGCCCTGCTGTTCATGGTGGTGGTGTAGTGCAGGGGGTCACAGATAGCCACGTAGCGGTCAAAGGACATCACTGCCAAGAGAATAAACTCCACTGTCCCCAAGAAAAAAAAGAAATAAGTTTGGGTGATGCAGCCAGCAAAAGATATGGTCTTCTTGTCCTGCAGGAGACAGGCTAATAGTTTTGGGGTAACTGAGGTGGTGTAAAAAATGTCCAAAAGTGACAAATTACTGAGGAAGAAGTACATTGGGGTTTGCAGGCGATGATCCGCCCATATTAGGGAAATGATGGCAATGTTTCCTGTTAGAGTAAGTGTGTAAGTAAACAAGAGGACCACAAAAAGGGAAATTTGAAGCTTCTGAAGAAGAGGAAAGGCCGTCAGGGTAAACTCAGTCACTGTGGTCTGGTTTTGCATGTCCATTGCAGGCAATGCTTAGTAAGCAGCACATCTCTGAAAAAAAAAAAAAAAAAAAAGATAAAATACAAAGATGAAACTCAGCTTAAGGAAGTTTTCAACTCCCAATATCTGGGATAAGAGTCAAGTAGAAAAAGCTTTGTGTGAGGAGTCAAGAGTGATTCGTTCACGGTCTGCTTTGACTTCATTAAATGTGTTCCCTTGGGTAAAGGACATTACTACTTCTAACTTCAGTATTCTCATATTTAAAAGTTTTGATTGAATGAAATTATCCTTATTGTCCCTATAATCCCAGTCTTTAAGATTTTAGTTTCTTTTACACAATACTCCTTCCTTTCTCTTTTTTGCTCTTCCTGACCAAGGAAAATTCTGTTGCTAAAAAAAGGATACTTAACTGAGAATCTAGTCAACTATTTGAAAAATTGAGAAAAAGAAGGTTAATAAAACTTGAGTTAGGCTGGGCACGGTAGCTCATGCCTGTAATCCCAGCACTTTGGGAGGCCAATGCGAGTGGATCACCTGAGGTTGGGAGTTGCAGACCAGCCTGACCAACATGGAGAAACCCCGTCTCTACTAAAAACACAAAAATTAGCTGGGTGTGGTGGTGTGCGCCTGTAATCCCAGCTACATGGGAGGCTCAGGCAAAAGAATCACTTGAGCCCAGGAGGCGGAGGTTGCAGTGAACTGAGATTGCGCCACTGCATTCCAGCATGGTGACAGAGCAAAACTCTGTCAAAAAAAAAAAAAAAAAATTAGTTACTTTTCTCAAAGTTATTTCAACTTTGAAGGCATCTTCTAAATCAATGAACAGAAACTGTTAAAACTGGCCAAGACAGTCCAATGAAAGGGAATCTATATTTACCTCTACTCACTTTTGTTATTGTTACCATGTTTTGAATATCAGTGTACAATTAGACACAAGTTATTTGATCAATCAGTCTTTCCCTAAATTTACTTGGTTTTTCTTTGTTTTTCCTTTATATAATATAAATGTTTTTTGATGTCTACACTGTTATGGAACAAGTACATCCATGATATATAATTCATTATTTTTCTAACCTATTTTAAATATTTTGAAAAAAGTCTTATGGGACAATGATTAATTTGTTGTATTGTTGTTGCTCTTTGCCATGTTACATTTATGGCAGCATCCAAAAAAATAATACGTTTCCGCTTGCTTTCTCCAACGGATTCTTACAGATTTTTCCAAAGAAGTCTTTTATACTCAACATTTTTTTCCCAGTCATTTGAAGAGTAGGTTATGAACAATATTGCAAAAAACTAGATGTCAAAACATGTATTTGATCTATCAAAAAGATGTATGTGAAACACTCATCCTTAATCTCTGAATACTGCCCAAGTTCACTGAAGATCTATTTCGGTCTGTGTAATTCAGTTGAAGTACTGTCTTCTGGTGTGTTATTTTGTGGCTAGTCCTAGTTTCAAGTTAAAACAACCAATTTATATCCCTAAACTAGGTAAAATTTTTAATGTGGTACATATAGAACTCCTCTTTCAGGGAGGTCATTTCCTCAGACTCTCTACTTGGGAAAAGTGATTGCCAGGAGCTGGCAGTTATTAGTATCATTATTTTTTCCATTTATCCATTCTTTTAGTTAACAGGTTTTTGTTTTGTTTTGTTTTTTTAGCATATGTCGTGCATCATGCAAATTTTCAGGTTCTGGAGTTACATCAGAGGAACAAAAAATACAAAGCAAAAACAAGGCAAAAATGTTAACAGCAAAAAATTTCCCCTATCAAGCTTACCATATAGTTAAGGGAGACAGAAAATTACATAAGTCAAATAAATGCTATGATCTTGATTGTGATAAGTCTCAGAGCTGAGACTTTTTTCATAAACATATTTCCATTTGCAAATTTGGCTGTTACTTTTTCTGGTTCTTGTAGTTCATTTTTGTTCACTACTCATTTTTTTTCATGAATCAAGGTATCACTATTATTTTAATAATTGTCTTCATCTTCTCTGTTCTATATAAGAAAATTCTGGTTTCTTACAACTTTTTTTTTAACATTTCTAGGTCATTGGTGAGTAAACTTTACAAATGCATAGTGGTTTTTGACTAAGAGTAATTTTATTTTTTTTAAATTGTACTTTAAGTTTTGGGGTACATGTGGAGATCGTGCAGGATTGTTGCATAGGTACATATATGGCAAGGTGGTTTGCTGCCTCCATCCCCCCATCACCTATATCTGGCATTTCTCCCCAAGTTATCCCTCCCCAACCTCCCCACCCCTCGATGTCCCTCCCTTAGCCCCCCTAAGAGAGCCCAGTGTGTGATGCTCCCCTCCCTGTGTCCATGTGTTCACTTTGTTCAACACCCACCTATGAGTGAGAACATGTGGTATTTGGTTTTCTGTTCTTGTGTCAGTTTGCTGAGAATGATGGTTTCCAGATTCATCCATGTCCCTACAAATAACATGAACTCATCCTTTTTTATGACTGCATAGTATTTTTCAAATGTGAGTGGAATGGAATAACTAACTAGCAGAGCTCTTTTTGCTTCCTTAACATCCTTGGTCCCAGTTTCTAACTCCATGAGTACTGGTCTTCTCCATATTCCTTCCCAGTCTAAATATTTATTTGTTTTTCATGAGGTCAGGCACCATATCTATTTAATACCTCATTCTTTGAGCACAGAAGGTGCTCACTGACTTACTAAATAAATAAATCAGAATTGGGGAAGCTTCCCCCTTAAGTATGGAGTTGCCGCTGTCCCAAGGGTAAGCAATGGTAAGCTCTGTAGCCAGTATTTTTATATATCAATATAGACTTTTATCATAACCTGTACTTTGTTGGTGTGTTTTTCTTTGTCTAGTTATCAGGATTTGAGTAGTTTTGGAAAACTGATTCCTGCAATATTAATGCTGGGCTTGGGAAGGAACCCAAACACCACAATGCCTCATCAAGATCTTTCATAGTTTAGAGGTGGGAGACTAAAAGGGAAAAGTGTATGATAAAAGGAGAAGCTTACAATAGTAAGGTGCATTATTCCACTTCTAGTAATTCTTCAAATTGTTACAAGGTGGAGTGGGCTGTTTAATTATATTTTAAGTTATTAAAGAATCCAAAGAGTAATATTTATTGAAATAGGCTCTTGGTACCAGTAGAAACTCGTTTTATCGTAAATATTCTAGTGTTCTCTCCTCCCTCTACAGCTCTTTTGCCCAGAAAATAAACTTCCACACTATTAACTACTGTGCAAAGTGCATAACTATACCTGGTTAGACAAGTAATAATGTTATTGAGGCATAATACAAAAATAGAATAAAGCACACTATGTAGACAAGGAGAAACACTTTAGAATTCCCCTGCATTTCCCCCTTTCTCCCTTCATCACTGATAACACTGAAGATTGACAGGTATCTTAAGGCAGAATAATGAAGATTTTCATACAGCTGCCTATCATCCCATTTTTCCTTTCATTTGTCTAGTTAATTTCTTTACAACATCCTTAATGTCTTACATTTTGTTTTCCTTGCTAGGTAGTGTTTTAGGACCCTGATAGGAGCTTGATTCCCCTCTGGTATTTTAAAAATTGAACAACTCAGGCTTTTCAAAAGCACTATAACATTTTTAAACAATCGAAACCTGCAGTTGTTGAAAACAAACGGAGTTGCTATTTGCCATGATCGTCATAAAAAATGTATCACTAAGGGAAAAAAATTATATTTCAAGCTTTCTATTTTGTTGTGCTTTGGGTCAAATACAGGTCTCTGAGAAGAACTGAAGATGTAGCATCGCTCTCCTCTGTGGAGTCTCTTAACCTCTGAAAGGAACCTGGCCTTTTTAAGGTTATCTCAGGGCACTCAGGACCTCATCATATCTAGGAAGGAAGGCTCTGGGCTCTCTGCACTGTAATGACCCATGTGCAACAATTTAGGCTTTTATTTTGGGGGAGTTTTTCCCTCATTAACATTTCTGTGGATCCTTAGAGATTGCATAAAATTGCACATGTAAAGATTTAAGAATCAGTCAGGAAAATGTGGCATAATAGGAAAAAGTATAGAAGGTTTTAGAATCAATGATGTGCTATATATTTTTTGTTCAGTCACCTGTAGCTTTATAATCTTTTAACAGGACTCTTAAGCCTCCTGAGGTTTATCTTCCTCATCTCTAAAATGGTGACAGAAGTAATGCCAGATTCAAGGTCCTAAGACAGTGCCTACCACAGTGATTTATATCTAGTAGATGCTCACTAAATATTTGTTAAGAAAATAGGATTGGGAAAGGGTGAACAGAAATGAAATAAGATGTGATGCAGGTGGGGTCTTAGAGATAACTCAAGTTCTTTACTATCAGTAAAATGTAAAAAAGTTTGTTACTGAAGTATATTAAAATATTTACATACTTATGATAAAGATATAACATTTGACATCCTCCCTCATAAAGTATTTGAAAGAATGGTAATTACATTTTAATTTATAAAATCACCCATAAACAAGTTTAAGTGACACTCAGACTGTTTAACATATAGATACGGATAATCACATGACACAGTATACTTACGTTACACAGCTTTTAAAACAATTAGTAATTTCTTCATTCATATATGTTAAGAAACTTGAACGTTGTTTTTTTTCCTAGTCCATACCATTCATTTTTCTGTAAATACTTTCACTGCTCCAATATTGAATTCTCTATAAACCTACCTGTGTCTTAGCTGAGACTTCTCCCTGTACCACAGTTAATCCCCTTTGCAGAACCATACTCATGGTTATTCAATTTTGGCTTGAATACTCCATCCGTCTTCCCTTGATTGAGAAACTATCTTTTTACAACCTCTAATTACTTTTCCCAGTTCTTTTTCTTAGTCCCACTGAGGAAGTCTAAGTCTTGATTTATACTAACTCCAAGTGTTATATCACTATTGAATCATTTTATCCTACATATCTAGTATATCTCAAACTTGGACTATTCCTCTGACTTTCAAGGACTACATTTTTGCCAAAAGAATTTAGGTTTGGTAATGAATCAAGAC